TACGACCAGTGACTGAGGAGGAAACAGCTGAGCTCATAACCATCATGAGCAACAACAAGGCCCCGGGCGATGATCATCGTATCAATGCAATTGCATTAAAAATGTTACCACCTCCAAGCATTCAGCTAATTACGAGGATCTATAATAGATGCTTGGAGATAGGGTACTTTCCGTCCACATGGAAACGTGCCCAGGTAAACGAGTATTGGCTGGACTGGAACGAGTATTTTTAATACAGAGCGTTGCCAGTATTTGACGAGGCTGGACTGATCCCTGACCACCAGTTTGGCTTCAGGCGGCGACATGGTACCCCAGAGCAGTGCCATCGGGTGGTGCAGTGCATCCTGGACGCATTTGAAACCAAGAAGTACTGCATGGACGTCATTGTGGACGTGAAGCAGGCGTTCGCTCGAGTCTGGCATCCCGGTCTTCTATATAAATTAAAGATTGGCCTAACCCGACCATACTTCCAGTTCCTAAAGTCGTTCTTGGAAGACCGTAAATTTGCGGTAAGATGCGGCGAGGCCATCTCCGGTATAAGAGAAGCTCACTCAAGTGTACCCCAAGGCAGCGTTCTTGGCCCGTTGATGTACAACGCTTAGATGGCCGACCTCCCTGTTCTTCAGATGCCTGACCGCCTGCCACCGCCGATAGCGCCATGGGGGCAGCAGAAACGATGCAATTGCAGCTTGACTCGCTCAGCGACTGGCAAAAGCGTTGGAACATTGCCGTCAATAATGAAAAGTCCACTGCCACCACATTTTCTCTCTGCAAAGGCCACTGCCCTCCAGTCAACCTCAACGGCTCCCCGATCCCGCAGGAAGACAATCCCAAGTACGTTGGATTCACCCTAGACAGGAGGCTCACCTGGAGGCTCCATCTGATTAAGAAGAGGAAACAGGCTGATCAAAGACTTCGATCCTTCTACTGGCTCATGGGTGGGGGATCGAAGCTGAGAACGTCCACGAAACTTTTCATTTACAAGGCCATAAAACGCCCAATCTGGACGAACGGCATACAGCTCTGGAGCACTGCGAGCAAGACGAATGTCCGAACTATGTTCGAAAATTGAGCCCTTCGAATCGCCACTGGGGCCCACGTCTATCATGACAATCGCACCCCCCACGAGGTTCTCAATTTTCCTTGGGTCAAGGACGAGATCCAAAGAAGCAGCGCACGCTACATGCAGAGGCTTCATAATCACCCGAACCTATTGGCCAGCTCCCGGCTGGACAACAGCGAGCAGCCCAGAAGACTAAAAAGGACACACCTGATGGAACTTCCCTTACTTCTCTAATTTATTTCTACCATATTAATACCATATTAACCATATTAATGGTTGTCCCTAAAGGACAGTTTTAAATAAACGTTATCCTGCTATTACAAAAAAATAAATAAATAAAATAAAATAACCCTATGATTTAGAAATTCGCCCTATTTTTAACGTCAATGGCACCGCACCATAAAATTTAGGGTAAATTTTTCTTAAATTAATGGCATTTTTTTTCTAAAATCTAGGGCAAATTGCCCTAAAAATACAAACAAATACAAGAACAAATACAATAAATACAATAATACAATACAATAAATAAATACAATACAAATTATGTACATCTTACATTTACATATTTTTACATTTGTTTCCATTGCTAGCTCTCTTCAGTTCTTAATTTTACCAAAGATTATAAAGTACATAGATGGGACATCAGGGCCAAAAACGGTCAACTTTTTTCTTCGAGCTTGTTGGTAGAACTCTTTACATGCATCCGTCAACAAAAATGTGAACCTATGTATGTATGTATACTGCTCGCACGACGGAGTAAAAATGTTTTGGCTTCCAAATTTCAATTTCAATATCTCGTTTCTGTTTTCGACGCGCCGATGTCGTAGTTGGTAAAACAAATAGTACTTTTAATCGCCGCAGATCGAGACAGGATGGTAGCGTAATGCATAGAGTACTTACTCTATGTGTAATTTTTCTGTGTTCAAATCCTCGTAAGGACTTTGAACTTTTTCTTTCTTTTATAATTATTTTGTTTTATTTTTCCTTAATTATAATATTTTTCTTTAATTTTACAATTGTAAAATTGTTTTATTCTTAATTATGTCTCGCTAATAAAATTTCAAGGGAGTCCTTCCGGCATTTTGTCATCGGACACCTCCGTCACTTAGTTTTACTAAATAAATTGTAATAGAATGCAATTAAAAATAATAATAACAACGTTAAAATTAAAAGTAAAAGAAAAAATTAATAAAAAAATAAAAGTAAATATAAAAAGAATCATTAAACTTAAACTTTATCAAAATTGAAACAACCGCCCCCTAATGAAATTGAACCCAGGACCCCATGAATAAGGACCGCGCACCATCTATCTATGCTACCCTCGAAGTTGATTTTATGATACTTAAAATTGCTGTTAAAGGAGGCGCTAGAATACATACCAAAAACAGAGCTGACGAGTAAGGATAGTAAAAGATAGTTCTGACTCTCACATTGGTTCGAGTAAAACGTATCAAACTTTCATCGTTCCAAAGATGTTACGATCTAAAAATAGAATTCTCTCTTTCCCTCTCTCATCTGCCAGCCGTTTGTCGTGGAACCGGCTCTCAAATGTTTTCATTATTACAGCGGGTTCCACAACGGAAAAAATTAAAACATTTAAGAGCGGGTTCCACGACGCGGCCTGCCAAAATGCCGTAGAACCCGCACTTATAGACATTTTTACAATGGGTTCCATTACGAACTGAGACGATGTTAAGGTGATTTTACAATTTTGTTTTTTTTTTATTGGATTATGAATTTAGGAAAACACATTAAAAGAATAACAAGAAAGGAAAGCTAACTTCGGGCGGAGCCGAAGTTTATATACCCTTGCAATTAAAACCGGATATATATCGCAAACATCGGATATAGTTGGCCGATCCTTATGGGAATAGGAATATATAATCCAATTTATTACAATACAAAATCTAAAAAAAGTCCCAAACTTTTATCTTCAAAAATACGAAAGTTGATATTTCTACCAAATACCATTTCCGATCGTTCAGTTATATGGCAGCTATGGGATATAGTCGGCCGATCCTAATGAAATCCTTTCTATCTTCAAAAACACGAAAGTTGGGTCATTTCCGATCGTCCAGTTATATGACAGCTATAGGATATAGTCAGCCGATCCTTATGAAATTTGGCATGTCGTAATATTTTGCCAAAAATAGCACTCATGTCAAATTTGAAATCAAACTCTCTAACTCTAAAAACACCAAAGTTATACCATTTCCGATCAATCAGTTATATGGCAGCTATAGGATATAGTCGGCCGATCCGGGCCGTTCCGACTTATATACTGCGTGCAAAGGAAAGAAGGGTGTGTGCAAAGTTTCAAGACGATAGCTTTAAAACTGAGAGACTAGTTCGCGTAGAAACAGACAGACAGACGGACAGACAGACGGACAGACGGACAGACGGACAGACGGACATGCTCATATCAACTCAGGAGGTGATTCTGATCAAGAATGTATATACTTTATAGGGTCGGAGATGTCTCCTTCACTGCGTTGCACACTTTTGACCAAAATTATAATACCCTCTGCAAGGGTATAAAAATATAATATAAATAGATTTAAAATTAAAAAAAAAAATGGATGTCCCGAGCCTCTCAAAATTATAATATAAAACAAAATTATAATACCCTCTGCAAGGGTATAAAAACATTACCAATTTGTGTCCAAAAATCTGCTTAAGAACGGGCAATTCCTCAATAAGCTATGTGTAGCTAAGTGTAGCGTCCGAGAAAAAGAAACTTTTGCGCCACTCAAAAGTAAGATCCCATTTTTCGTTGACCTCTTAACAAGGCTAGGCTTCACCTCTTCACTTTTGAACATCAGCCAGATTTTGTTGGTCTCGAGATTTTTGAAAAGTAAACAGTTTGTTAAGCATACATATGTACATGTACCATTTTGCGATGGCCCTTGCAGAAACATTTGTTTTTGACAGTAGAAAATTTGTAAATAATATATAATAAGAATCAAATTTTTAAGCAAAGCTTAAATACAAAATAAAGATCGTTTTTCGTTTTTCAACTTCAAAATTGCAATAGTTTCTGCATCAATATCGAAATATTTTATATAATTTGAATTACCTGAAAATGTATTTGGGCCATTATTTTTAACCTTTGAAAAGTGGCGTAATTTACCAGTTGATAACTTTTTCTCCTTAGCCTTCAAATTATAAATTTTTTCATATACAGCAGACCTTCTGGCTTTTTGCCGATTTTAAGATCTATTATGCACTTCCACAATTTGATCGAGTTTAATTAAATTATCGTTGTAAGTATGTAACTTACCAGCGAATAAGGAAGCAAACGCTTCTCAGTTTAACTTTTCCAGTAAGGAATCTATTAGCACTTGTTAAATAAACTTTTTAATAAACTTGTAATGTCAACATCTGATAGTTCAAATATCGTTACATTATTTCTTAACATGCATTTTTCTTCTTAAAATTTATTGTGTTAAACATGTTAAAACTTTATATATAAAATACTCTGTATTTATTATAAAAATACTCTATACTCTATATTTACAAATAAAATAAAAAAAAAAAAAATTAAAAATCATTAACGATTTTATTTAAAAAAAATAAAGTTTCCCAATATTTATTTCGACCAGGTATAATATACATGCGGGCATAAAAAACCTATTTGCCCGAAAAAAAATCTGAATAAAAGAAAAATCTAATTATTAAGCGATAGCTCCAGAACTGTTAGAAATCTAAAAGAAAAGTGTTCCGGTGAAAATATGTATTTTGTTTCTATACAGACAGCATTAAAAAAAAATGGTTTAACAGATATTTTCAAGCTCTAGTAAATTAAATTATTTTCAGAATTCCCTTTTTCGTGGAAAAGCAAAAAATAAAGACTTTATGTGTTTGTTTTTATAACCGGTTTTCTAATAAATTTCTAAAAACACATTTATTAAATTTCGAAAAATGTTTTAAATTACAGAACTTGATGGTCATCAATCCGATGAAACAAACTCTGGAGAAGGTGAAAACTCAAATGGAGGCACATCAAATACAGGAAACAATGAAGATGATCAAGCTCGACTTATACTCAAAAGAAAGTTGCAGCGGAATCGAACTTCGTTTACAAACGAGCAAATAGATAGTTTAGAAAAAGGTAAGATGAAAAATATTTACTTAAATCAAAATACAAATACGAGTTAATCCCGAAGTGACTTTGTTTCAAGATTGACTCGAACTTTGCAAGTTAAATTATTCGTTGAGTAAAAAAAAATGGAATTGATCAGCCTGTTTTAGTAACTAGTGATGTTACTTTGTATACCACTTCACAGGTTTTTCAAAGTTTGGGTGAAATGCTGTGAAGTAGTTTATTTATATATTATCAAGTATATACAGTGCACTATGGGCAAAAAGTCCCGAATTCGGTATTTTTACTATTGGAAATACAATTGGCAGCACTACCCAATATATATCGGGAGCTTTGTTATTTTTATAAGTATCTCCTCTAAGGCCTCTTTTCTGTTTTCTGTCACCTCTATCGCCAACAACTTTGTTCTACAACACCTTCATTATTACAAATAAATAGAACTATTGCTCAGCCTAAAATACAAAAGGTTATGGGCCAAGCACGCTTCCACTGCGCCAGAGAATAGTTCAAAGAAGGATAGTGAACAAATAGTGAGTTCAAATTGCAAAATTCAATTTGTGGTGAAATTGCCGGCACACACATATATACATCACGTGTGCATGTAAAAGTCTGAGACTTCTGGGGACGCAAAAGAAGGCGTCTTATTGGCAACAGAGGAAAGAAGCATATTCGTTGCTTGTTTAGCTTCGTGAAATGTTAGCTTCTGTAGCATAACTAAACGCAGATCAAAAAGCAAAATGAGTATTGCTAGTATATGCATAGAGCCTTTGGGCAAAGACAATTTCGACACCTGGAAAATACAAATGCAGCCCGCACAAAACAATGCACGAAAACAAAAAAATTGGTGCTCCCGTTTTCACTTTCACAAGATTTTTTCGAATTCCAAAACGAAAAAATTTGTCTTGCCTAAATCAAAAGTAAATGCTTTTTTCTATATTAAATCGGATCTTATTTGCAAAAGGAAAAAAGTAGTTGACTTATTGGTTTATTGCCGTTCTTTTAAGATCTCTAGAAGATCAATTAGGCTTGTTATTATTTTTTAAAACAAGTAATTTCTGACCCCACCTCAAATTTGGATATAAAATTTTGCCGTCGGCAACAACAATTTTCGTTTTGGTGAGCGACCGATAAGTCCGACACCATGGGTTATCGCCTAAGCTGCCATACTTTTGATAGAATGAAAAAGCAAGTTAAAAATACTTTTATAATCAAACGGATGGCGATAAATTTGTTGAAATTGGGTAAAATATGTTTTTTTTTTAATTAATTAATTTAATTTTATTAGGTTTGTGCTAAAAGTGTATAAAAAAAATTGTTGAAAACACCGGAATGAAATGAAAATGAAATCCATTGAAAAGGTGGCATCCCCTTAACTTGGCTTTTCTGGCTTTACCCCTTAATTCTTTTGGCTTCGAAAGATGCAATTGAAAATAAAAAAGGCATTTTTTTGCGTTGTTTGCTGCTGACCAAACCTCAAATCAGCTGTTTCGGCAGCAAGAAATGATGAGAAATGAAACGTTTCGATAGCAAAACGATAACTAAAATTTGTGAAAACCGGAGCACCTAAAAACGAAAATCTCGGTTTTGGTCCCAAAACGAAAACCGAAAGGGAAAACCGGAGCATGCCTGATAGATAAGTTTTCCGATTTAGTTGACAAAATAAACGAAGTTAATCTGCTGAATATTGACGATCCATCTTGCTACTATACAGTATACCAGAGGAGTACGAACAGTTTCGAATTGCGATTGAAACTCAGGAAAACTTAATATCAACAGTAGAACTAAAAATTAAGTTACTAGACGAATTCGAGGCAAGAAACTGAAATCCAAGCGAGTCGACGCCTGGGGCATTATTGGTGCACAAGAAGTATAATCCCAGCAAGCCGAAACATCTAAGCACTAATCAAAAGTTTAAGTTTAAATGTTACAGCTGGTGAAAAGTCAGTCACCGTGCAGCTGAGTTCAGATCAAATCCAATGAAGAACCAGAGCGAAAGCATGTACATCAACATTGCTAATTATACAAACAGTGATTGCAGTAACTGGTGTCTAGACTCTAGAGCAATTTCACACATGTGCTCACAGAAAAATATCTGGAGCCAGGAGCCTGGAATACCCTGGAGCCAGCTGAAGGCTCGAAGCTCAGACTGGCAAATGATGAGGCCACAGATAAAAAAGGATGTGGATCCGTGCAGTTCTCCCCAAACAACAAGTTCACCGCCAGCCTGAAAAACGCACTCTATGTGCCGGATTTAAGAACCAATCTCTTATCGGTCTCAAAAATATGTGATCACGGCTTCAATGTAATATTCAAGAAAGAGAAAGCTGAGGTAGTTAGAGCCAAAGGAGGAGAATTATTTTTTACCGCTCCTCGCAAGTTGGACTTGTACCAGATCGAGGAAACACAAGAAAGCAGCCAGATCGCTATAAGTAAGCAAAACAGCATCAAAGAATGGCATGTGCGTTTCGGCCATCTAAATGAGCCGGATCTGAAAGAACTGATCGGAAAAGGCAAAGTTCAAGGAGCTAAGGTAAACCTAAAGGAAAGTTTCCCAATTTGTGAAATATGCATCAAGGGGAAGCAGTCCCAGAAGCCGTTCCCAGTATCGAATTCAAGGGCAAGGGATGTACTAGAATTAATTCACAGCGACGTATGCGGGCCCATGCGAGTAAACAGCCACGGAGGCCGCCGTTATTTTCTGAAATTTACAGATGACTTCTCGAAATGGTGCGAGCTCTACACTATCAAAAGTAAATCAGAAGTGTTCCAAAAATTTAAAGAATTCAAGAACTACGTAGAACGACGAACTGGAAAGAAGCTAAAAACAATCAGGTCAGATAACGGCACAGAATACACCAATAATGAGTTCAAAAATTACCTTGCAGCTCAAGGAATAAAGCATGAGTATTCCGTTGAATATACACTTCAACAAAACGGCACAGCCGAACGTAAAAACCGAACCCTTGTAGAAATGGCTCGCTGTCTCATGTTACAGGCTGCTCTGCCTGCGAGCTACTGGGCCGAAGCAGTAAACACAGCTAACTACATAAGAAACAGAAGTCCTTCAAGAAGCCTATGTGGAGAAACGCCTTTCAAGCTGTGAAACAATCGCATCCCAGTTGTGAAGCATATGCAGAAGTTTGGTCAAATTGCTTACTCACTGGACAAACGATCGAAAAGTAAATTCAGCTCAAAATCCAGGAAATGTGTTTTCGTTGGATACTGCAGCGATGCCAAAGCTTATAGGCTGTATGATGTAGAAACCAAAACTTTAATTAAAAGCCGAGATGTCGTTTTTACACACTTATTGGGGCACGACTATAAGTACGAGGATTTTATGGAATTCCCAATCAATATCGACATTGAACCAGTAGCAGTTGATCGACCAGAAAATGACGACCCAGATGACAACGACGGCAGCCAAACAGAAGATCACGAGCCAGAGGACCCTGAACCAGATGATGAACAACCAGAACCGGAAATATGGACGCGTGGAAACGTCGACGCGGAAGACCAAAGAATATATTAACAGGCAAACCAGGAAGGCCCAAGTTAATGTACAATCAAATAATTGCAGACCGAATCGACACATCAAACCAGCAGCCCGAGTCCGATCAAGAAGACATATTCTATGAAGCCACCTCACTTGCAATGAACTCAAAGGAGCTAACTGCGAGCGTAGCTCTTAAAGGCACGAACGCCATCGAATGGAAGGAGGCATTGATAAACGAGTACAAGTCATTGAAAAAGAACAATACATGGGAGGTTGTCGATCGTCAGAAAAACCATAAGGTTATCGAAACGAAGTGGGTGCTACGAACAAAATATTCGCCCGACGGAAAGATAAATTGTCAAAAAGCTCTATTGATCGCAAAAGGATTTACACAACGCGAAGGTATTGATTACGACGAGACCTTTTCTCCAGTATCCCGAATGAGCTCAATAAGGACATTAATAGCTTTAGCCACGGAACTCGGATTAGATGTTCACCAATTCGATTTCAACAGCGCCTATTTAAATGGGGACATCGAGGAAGAACTTTATGTCAGCGTCCCACCTGAGTTCCAGGAAATATTGACAGCAAATGAGAAGAAGATGTATGGCCCCGAGAAAGTTTGCAAGTTAAGAAAGGCACTATATGGTCTAAAGCAGAGCGGTCGCCAATGGTACAAAAAGCTAGACTGCCAACTCAAAGAACTGAATCTTAAACCACTCGCAGCCGATCAGTGCGTGTACTTGAAACGTGAACGAAATGGGATCCTGATAGTATCGCTTTACGTAGACGACCTCATAATAGCAACAAATAACGACCAAATGCTTTCCCAGTTGAAGCATGAATTGTCTAACAAATTCCAGATGAAAAATTTGGGCAAGATATCGTATTGTTTGGGCATAGAATTTAAACAAAGCCAAGACAAGACAGAGTTTACCATGGCCCAACCAAAGTATATAGCAGACATCCTGAAACGTTTCAACATGGAAAACTGCAAGCCTGTAAATACTCCAATTAATACAAGCGAAAAATTGTCTACAGAAATGTGTCCAACCACAGAAAGCGAAAAGGAAGAAATGTCTAGTGTGCCATATCAGAGTTTGGTAGGAGCCTTAATGTGGTTGGCAGTATCAACGCGCCCTGATATAGCGTTCGCAGTGAGCCAATATAACTAAGCCAATATAACACAAATTTTGGGAAACAGCACTGGATGGCTGCAAAAAGGGTATTACGCTACTTAAAAGGAACCCAAAACCATGGCTTGTTTTATAAAGGAAGTGGCCAAAACCTAGTAGGCTACGCAGATGCTGACTGGGCCGCCAATATTGACGATCGCAGATCTTTCACAGGTTTTGCCTTCAAGTTCGCAAGTGCAGCAATATTCTGGGAATGTAGAAAGCAACGGACGGTTGCATTATCAAGCACAGAGGCGGAGTACATGGCCCTATCAGACTCATCAAAAGAAGCGGTTCACCTTAGAAGTTTCCTTAGCGAAGTTTTGGGGCAACTGAAGACA